GAGGAGCCGGGGATCAGCTGGGGACTCCAGCTGAACCCCGGCTCCATGTTGCAAATCCCTTTGAAGTACTTTGCAACAATGGAGCTGGGGATCAGCTGGAGTCCCCAACTGATCCCTGGCTCCTAATGCGCTGCCCCTTTAAAGTACCAAAACAACACTTCAAAGAGGAAGTGCAAGCAGAGCTGGGGATCAGCTGGAGTGCCCAGCTGATCCCCGGCTCCGCATTGCAAAGCCCCTTTGAAGTGCCGGAGCAGTACTTCAAAGAGGCTTTGCAACAGCAGAGCCAGGGATCGGTCCCCAGCTGATCCCTGGCTCCTAATGCGCTGCCCGTTTAAAGTGCCCCAACTCTGCTTGCACTGCCCCTTTGAAGTACCACTCCGGTGCCTTAAAGCGGAAGTGCTGCATGGAGCCCAGGGCAGCTGTGGACTCCAGCTGACCCCAGGCTCCGCCTTGTGCTTGCTGTCCTTTTGAAATGCCATGGGGGCAGCACTTCAAAGGGGCAATGCTGCATGGAGCCCGGGGTCAGCTGGCAACTCCAGCTGATCTCAGGCTCCATGCAGTGCTGCCACGTTGAAACACTGCCGTAGCGTTTCAAAGGGGAGTTGTATGCAATGAATCATGATTCAATTTTTTAATTGTGCAATTAATCGTGATTAACATTTTTAATCGCTTGACAGACCTAATTATAACAAAATAAAAGATTGGATTGAGACACCTTTACAAATCTAGGTAATAATCTAACAGTAGATTAGTTTATAACAGTATCTAAAAATGCAGTATAATTAACAAGAATATTCTTTATACAGCCCTCAAAAGAAGTTAAATGCTACACACAATGCTTCCCAGCATGGCCATTTTATTCAGTGCCAAGACCAAAGAGAGAGACATCCTTCATGATAAAAGAAAGAGGCATGCAGACCCTGTACCATCAAAAGCATTTAAACAGCCTTTACTTTTAGAAAGATACAGACCAGTTTCCTGGACATACCATGGGCAATGATGATCCATTTTTAACACACACCTGCAAAAGGAAAAAAAAGAAAAAGAATACAACGACGAGGGTCTTCATGTTTGGAACTTATACAGACTCATAAACAAAGATTCCACCAACTGTAAGTCAGCAACAAAGTCTTCTGTTTTGTGTTGGATTTCTATAAAGAGATAGATTTAAGATGGCTGCTATCATTCCATCTTTCGTAAAGCAGCCACTATTTTAAGGTGGACTATTTGTTGTTGTAAGAGCAAGCAATGTCCCTTGTGCTGTACAAAACACAAAATGAAGATGGTTCCTAATCTGGGGTACTTACAATCTTTGCATTACCAATACAAGGAAAAGATGTGACACATTAAAAAAAGACATTACTTTTGAATGCACTTACTAGTGGCTAATGCTTTACATAAGCGGGCACACTTTGGAATTTGGTGGACAAGTTTCACATCCATGCAGGCACAAGTGTAGCAAAATGTAATCACAAAACTTAATAGAGACACAAAGTGTTTTGAGAGTGCAAATGTTAACACTTACGTGCATATAGGTGCCGGCACATATATGTGCACAAGTACAAATGAAGACCTATTAGAAACACTTTTGATAGTTTTTCCTTTACTGTTTGGGTGTTCTTGAACACAGGAAAACTTTTGGGTACCTCTGTATGTATAAGTACATGTTTAAGACATTGTCATTTTTGTTGCTTAGTAGCGGCTAAATTCACTGTGTCAAAACATTCCAGTAACTTACATAGCACAAACAGAACAGTGGTGACAACGGTCAGGCTTGATTAGCTGGCATCTATCACAGAATCGAATAGCTAAAAAAAACAGACATGTTACCATTAGTAGTTAGTGCTAAATAATGAGCAAGAAGAAAACATACATTTAACACTATTCTTGTTTTCATCCTTTCCCTCATAACTGCTGCCTATGCAACTTTACAGTTGATTCAGGCTGCGAGGTAAAATACAGATAAATGGTGGTCATAATATTCCTAGGGGCTAGATTTCTGAGGAAAGTACATCCAACTTGAAGGTAGTCAAAAGAAATGAAGAAATGGGGGGAGGAAGGGTTGTACATATACATTTATGTTCTGGCTTTGAAAAAAGCTCCATTTAAACAATGGTCTACAACAGAAGTAGCTTATCTCAGATCCTAAGATTGTGGATTAAAGAATACACAGGCCTGAACACTGCACCAACCTATAGGCTTCAACGGGAGTTCAATGTGTGTATTTGGCTGCAGAACTAGGTTTATGGGGGCAATAATGGTTGATCTCATTGTGGGATCATGTCCTGCACTCTTTGCTCAGACCAAACACTCTTTAAAGTGGGAGGAAATAAGGCTGTAAGAATTGGTTCTGCACACAGGTGTAGTTTGGCTTCCGTGTTTGGAAGGGGAAAGGCAGCTCAGCCATACAAGGAGGGACAAATTCCATCACCTCTCCAAGCTACTACATTAATAAATATAATTTGAGAACCCAACTACAGTCTCCAAACTACAAATACAGAAAGGAACACAACATACGGCTACTAAGCACTCAGGATTTATTTGGAAATGGAGGAAATATTCAAGGATTTCTTTTTCCCCAAGCAGAAAGGATGAAGAGGAAGCCAAGAAGGAAATCCTTTTAGAGTAATATTATTTCCTCAGCATTAAAGCAAAAGTCCTTTAGCGGTAAGTTTTGGCACTCGGGATTTGCTATTACTCGCCAGTATAACATGATTAATTAGATTTACATCAACAAAGCCCTCTGTTTAGCTGACCTCCATTCCCCGTTCTTGTGTACACTGGCAACTTCCTTGCAATTTCGACAAGAATCTGCCTTTGCACCTCCGGTCTCTCTTCATTTTCATAGCGCTCTTTGTCAGCATAAGACATATGGAACTAGAAGCAGAAGTGAGGAGAGAGGACCAGTTATCCACATATACCAGTGGCAATATTTCAAATGCAGGCCAGGTTGAAAAAGCTATCATCCTCCCACCACTTCCAAAACACAAACATTAATCACATTAGAAGGGCTTTTATTTTTGTGATAAACAGAGAGCTAATCACATGTAAAGTGACTTGACTGAAGTCAGACAGTAAAATAATGGCAGAGCAAGAATTAGAATTCAGGAACTCCTAGCTCCTAATCATATGATCAATCCACTAAATCATGCTTTCTGTCTTAAACAAACAAACAAACACATCTAACACTGAAAATATTATTTGACAAGTAAAGGAATCACAATCTACATTTTGATGCATTGGTTCTTGCAAGCCTGGGGGCTGTTGGCTGTTAACTAGAACCAAGAAGCATCATCTTATCAGTTAACTGGTTAAACTCTTATAGCCTACTTTAAAGTAAAGCTATGTTATGCCCACTCTAAGCTCGCTAGACAGCTTAATTGAAACAATTTTCAGAATGATTCAGCTGCACTCTTTTTAAAAAAATTTTATGGACAGCCGTAGACTCTTTTTCACCTAACCAGGAAGACTGATCAGTTGTCCAGGGCCACAGTAGCATAGATGGATTTCTTGAGTTCTCCCTTTGGCTGTTTTCTTCTTTTTCTTGACTTAGGCTTGCAGTGCCTGAAAAATACTCAAGCCCCTTTACCTTTTTATCTGGCTGCAGAGGGAGAGTAAAAATAGATTTCCAGTATGTCCACACAAAGAGCACAAAGATGACATGGAATACGATGAGGTAGGCCACTAAGAGAAGAAAAGAATAATCAATCATAAGCAGAAGTCACACTATACTTACTCTTCACCATTCAGAGTGCTTCATTTTAAAAATATTATGCTTCAGTGGAATTTTCTATCACTGGAAAATCAAATCTTATGAACTCTCAACTACTGCTGTCAAAGCTCACGTGACAAAGCAAAATGGGAAAACATTTACTCTCAGCAAGTAGACAAAACAAGAAACAATCACAGTTGTGGGGGCAGGATTATAATCCATCAGAGATGTCATTATCATATGAAAGACAAGGTACCTTTGAGCAATTTTATTTTAATAGACAAACTTCTTTACTTGAAAGAATTTGGGAAGACATGAGACACTGAAATGAGGCACACGAGGACTCAGAAGGGTAAAGAGTGCTGCATCTGCTTGAAAAGGACTTGGATATCTTTTTAAATGCTCAGACCTATTATAATATTATCTACTGTTATATCTGCAATCACTAGATAGCCTTCTTTATAAATGTGCCACTTAAGCAGATGAAATATGTGATTTTCCCTGCAATGCTGAATTCAAAATTAAAATGACCACCACATGAAGAATCAGAAGACTAAACTCCAAGCAAATCCTGTTTCCTTACTCAGATTTCATGGCAATTTAGCTAGTGTAAAGGCTAAGTATAGACTTGAGAATTTGGCCCTTTTAATGTGAATAAATTATCCACTGGGGAAGGGTACATTATTGTTATCTGAAGTTTATTTATTTGAAGTGTACTCATCACACTGCCTTCTGGGCACACAACAATTTAAAAAACTTAATTAAAAACCACAACTACCAACAGAAAGTCTATTGCAGAGCTGAGGAAAGAACTCAGATCCCCTGATTTTCTGGTGTTGTTCTGTGCCCAAATATCATCTTTCTTCAGATACCTTGTTTGCACAATTCTGTGCAATATGAGAGTATGTCCATCATCCATGTTGCCCAGTTTTGTAGACAGAATGCCTATTTAGATGCATTACTGATCTTTCCAGTGTGTCATTCACTATATATCTAAAAGTAGAGCATAGTAATTTAGGAAGTAATGAATTCTCTGTACATACAAATAAATATACTTGCTGTGCTGAACTGAAAAAAATTCTGAGAGGATGAGTTGTCCTAAAAACTCTTTTTCCTTTCTCTGTGAAATAAACTGTAGCTTACTTCACAAGACATTTTCCTTGCTCATTCCCAGGATTTAGTGAGTGATATCAGTAGAGAATTTCTACTCTGGATCCTGCAAAGCAGTCTTAAGCAAGTCTCCCTTATTTAATATACTCATCTCAGGGGTAATGAAATTCACACTGGAAATGAAACCCACCAAGGCAGATCCAAATACTTAACTGACTTCAAATGAAACAGTGTACTACAGAACGGCAGTGCACTGCTTTTGGGGGCACATATTTTTAAAAACATAGGCAGAAAAATAGAAATAACTAAGAGATGCTAATTATTTGGGAGTGACAAGCCACCAGCTCATCCTGTGCTATCCCCCCATCAGGACAGGATAGGAACTCTGTCATTCTTAAACCAGCATTTAAGGAGATAACTCTTTCAGAAGGTTTAGTTTTGCTGGTTCGATGGCACAGTCGGGCTTCTCTGGGAAAAAGGGGTCAGCATTAGCAAACTCTTTTCTTTAGGGAATTTACATGTACATTCATTAGCAAACTTTACAAATAACGTACATTTTTCTGGATCATTATTAACCTATTGCCAAGTTTTCTACATTTCCTTTGTGACCACTTAAGATACTGGGTCAGTATTTTGCTGCAAAGATAATTTAGTTGGTGCAGTACTGAAAGAGGGGGCTATTAAGGAGTGAGTTACAGCTCCCCAGTTCTCTGCCTTGGCAGCTTCTGTGTGTTGGCTGATGTGGGTTCTCATGGACCAGTCTGCCAGATGAAGCTCACCAAAGCTGCTATCATTCCCCACCCCTGGGATGAGCTGTGTGGGTGCTATGTACATCCCATTGTATGTATGTATGTATATACACCTGCTGGGAACTCTCCATGCTGTGGACATCTCCAGCAGAGAGACAGTGCCAGACTGTCTCTATTAAAGTAGCACAAAAGAGGTGGAACAATACAGAGAATCTGGCTCAAAGAGCCAAATGGCAAAACTCCCATTGACTCCATTTCATGGGGCTGGAATTTAACCCATTGATGGTACATGCCAATGGTAGCTCTGTTTACTCCTGCCTGCTCCTCCTGCCTGATTTATTCAGTGACCTTACAGTTCTGCTTCCATGAGAATAAACTTTCATGGTACTGAAAAAAAAGTCTCAGAGGGGTAGCCATGTTAGTCTGCAAAAACAACGAGTAGCCCTGTGGCACCTTAGAGCAGGGGTAGGCAATAATTTTTGATGGGTGGGGGGGCTCCACTCCAAGAATTTGGAAAGTGGTCGAGAGCCACACTCTTCTATAATATTAATGGAGGAGTTCTAGGGTCTGGGATGGAGGTTGGATGCAAAAGGGAGTTTGCGATATGGGATTGGGGTACAGGAGTGGGTATGGGGGCTGGGAGGCAGTTTGGGTGAAGGAAGCGGTTGTGACCTGGGGCAGGAGATTGGGGTGCAGGAAAGAGGCAGAGGGCTTGGGTTGTGACCTAGGACAGGAGGGGGTTGTGACCTGGAGCAGGGAACTGGGGTGCAGGATCTGGTAGGGGATATGGGTTCAGGAGGGGGGCAGAGGGTTTGGGTTATGGGAGGTGGGGAGCAGAGGCTCTGGCCAGGAGACTTACCTGCTTGATTCCCAGCCAGCAGCCTTCTCAGGCAGGGGTCATGTAGTCTTTGAAGAGTTATGAGCCTGAGGGGAAGGTGCTTTTCAAGCTGCCTGTTGACAACAGGCAGTTCCCATTGGCCAGAAACTGACCAGTGAGTTCTCAGCCCCGCAGCAACTGCTTTTTTCAGAAGCATATGAGGGGGCAGGTAGGAAGCTTGACTGAGGCTCCCCACTGCGTTACGGGGCCGGATCCAGTGGCTTGGTGGGTTGATTCTGGCCTGTGGGCCATATTTTGCCGTGACCTGCCTTACAGACTAACAAAAATATATAAGTTCATGAGCTTTCATGGGTAAAACCCACGTCATCAGATCTTACTGAAAGAATTTGAAGAACATGCATGCCAACAAGAAGAGAGCAATGGTGAACTAGCAATGGGACATAAAACCTTTCAAACCTAGGCCACAAGTTATAATTTATTTAGAGACTGAAAGTATGAAAGTCATTATCATTCAATGGCTGCCTGATGACCTATGGAAAATGAGTTTAGTGGTCTTGGTTGAGGTGTGTCTATTTTAAAAAAACATTAAAAGTGGTATTAACTGGATGCCTCAAGACAGTAATGAAGAAAATTAATTGGGGCCAAAGAGACTGAATTACTGTTTAGAGATAGTATTTTTACAAAAAAAGTAGGATAATGTGTGCAAAGGTGCTTTGGGAGCATGCCCTGTTGTCCATGTTGTACTTATTCAGGGAATCAACAAAATTTTCACTTCCACCTTTCACTAGCAGACAGAGAGGTTAGAATACTTTTCTTGATACATTCTGTATATATCCTAGTAATCTACAATCAGGGGAAGGAAATATTGAAAGAGTATGATAGTTTAATGGAATTCTACAAGAAGTTATTAGTTGTAGTTTGCTGGAGTGTAGAAATGTTTGCATTCAAATTTTCTAGTCACTGAACTGAAAGATCCTACTATTTGGAGATTCAGTGCAAATCCCCTTTCTATATCTTCCATTGAGAGCTTTTTTGTATATAAATATATAGAAATGATTTTCAACTGCTTTTTAAAAAAATCGATATCCATTCACTTTTGAAACTGTGAACCATATGCCAAGATATTTAATAAGATTCACCTACCTTGTTCCACAGGGTTGGTTAGAGTCACTGAAAAAGAAAAAAAAGACAAGCAATCTATAATCAAGCAATATATAATCTTTTCTGAAACAAAATCAAAAGAAAAAGAATTTTAATAGGCTAGAAGACCAGAAAGAAATTATTTCCAATTTTGATTGTTAAACCACAATCACACATAACGCTACATCTGGGAAAGCATCTCTTTTCATTTATCCACTTGAATGGTCTCCATAATAAAATGTTCAATCATCTTAGTTACATGGGTATTTTCCATTCCTACAAAATATAATTTTTCTCAAGAGTCCCAATAGTATTGATGCCTGCAAGATAATCAAGACTCCTCTAATAGCCTGTCCAAATAACATCTTCATCATGGGCATCTGGTCTGTCAGGCAAAACAAGGCACAGACACCCAAAGCTGAGCTGTGCTGGCCCCACCGCCAACTGCCAATGAGGGCGCTGTGGAATGGCTAGAGTGGTTCAGGAGGATCAAGGGTGGCTGGGAAGGCAGAGAAGCAAGGCGCCACCTCAGAAGCCCCTCCCCCTGGACACTGCATGGCATAGACACAAGGCTCCAATTACAGTCACAAGCAGTGTTCCCTCTAAGCCAGGCATGTAAAACTCAAAGTGTACTGAGGGTCGCATAAACGAAAACTGATAGCTTTCAGGGCCACCAAAGACAATGTATTTCATCAGAAAGCTGTAGTTATTTATTATTATAGATTATGTTTTAGGTATATTTTATAATATTTTTTCAGGTCTTGTTTTAATATAATGCAATAATTTGATGTGTAAAATTGTTATTTGCTCATATAAAATAATTTTTAATTTAAATATAAATTTAAGGTACTTTTAAAATTTGTTATATGCTACATAACTTGTTTTGTTGAAATAAAAATAAGTATAGACAGTGGTTAATCAAATAGAACAGACTTCTGTGAAAATTTCAGATACTTTTTAAGTTTGAGATTTTATAAAACATAATTATTCGTGCAATTGCAAAAAATTAACATATATTTATTGATATATATACATTTCGTGATTTTATTTGGGAATAAATAAATAAAAACCAAAATATTAATCAAAAAACCCACCTCTCCCCCAGAGCCAGGCACTCCCATACTCCCAATCTAACACAATTGCCCTCTGCTCCCCCAAAGCCAGGCACCCCCAATCTAATGCCTCTCCCCTCCCCCACAGTCAGGCACTCCCAGGCTCCCCCCGATCTAATATGTGGGTTCCAGAGTCGCCGTTGCTGCTGCCACACATTTCTTTGTCAGGCGTATTGGGGCGGCGTGAGCACAGCGATCAGCTGTGTGTGTGTGCTGGGTGCCATGCACAGAGCGGCCCACCTGGCCGTGAGCACATGCTGGGTGCCATGCGCAGAGCAGCCCCGGCCGTGAGCAGTTGCTGTGACACAGAGCGGCCCAGCCAGCTGTGATCTGCACTCAGCCACGTGCTCTGACTAACCAGTGGGCTGCACTTTATTCTTTTATAAAAATGTAATGGTGGGCCACAAAAAAATTTCGATCGGGCTGCATGCGACCTGCCAAACACCAGTTTGACATGCCTGCTCTAAGCTGCATGGCAGCATAGCTTAATCAGCTCCACTCAGTCAGAGGCTCAGGGCTCCCTGAATGGAGCTGACTGACTGGGTGGGGCTGATCAATTACCTGTGAAGCTGTGGTCACAGCTGTTTTGCAGCATGCAATTCCATTCATCTCACTAGCTCAAGGATAGCTAGCCCTGCTCTGCTGGTTTGTTCTCCTGCGCAGCCCCATAACCCATCCAGTCCCCTTTCCTTGCACCTTGGCCCAGCATGGGAAAAGTGGGCTTCCTCCTTGCTGCCCCCCTTCTCCTCCTTTGCTCTCTCTCTACTCAGTTGGCTCCTCCCCCCGCCAGCTAGTGTGTGGAGTGGTGGTAGGTTTGGTTTCACTTTCCCAGCCTAGTTGCTAACTGAGTCTGCTGCTGGGGGCTCTTTTCCCCTTGCCCTCTCCCCACACGCACTCCCCACAGTCCCTCTCCCCCTTGCTAGTGTGTGGAGTGATGGTGAGGGGTTGCCTAGCCCAATGAGCCCTGCAGAGATAGCTGCCCAATCCCCTCCCCTTGTCCTCTCTCCACAGGGTTCCTGTTTTCTATGCCCTGCAGTGGAGTGGGGTGGGGGTGGGAATGAGAGAATGGGGGTAAGGAGGTGGGGGGAAGGAATGGGGAGTGAGGGGTATGAGGAGGGGTTGGAGAAGAAAAGAGGATAAGGAATTGGTGGGAGAGGGACAGGATTCTGGCATGCAGTGTCCCCTCAGAAGCAGCTGGGGCTCCCCTGTTAAAGCAGACCCATCTAACCTTCACCCTGACAAGCCCCGCTCCTCTAAACCTGGACTCATCCAACCAGCTCCTCACATCTCCAGCCCAATGAGCTGCAGCAAGTTGCATCTGGACCCTATGAAGTCCCATTTCCTCAGCACCTGGATCCCACACCAACCCCCACCTCCCCTTGAGGTCAACCGGAGTCCCATTGCCCCTACTCCAGAACCCAATGAGCACCTGTGCATCCAGATCTCCCATTGAGTCACCCACACCCAGACTGCCCCACACCTGAATCCCCTACAATAACTCCCTCCACACTTGGATCATGCTGGGCTGAGCCTGCCCAGTCATGTCTGGTACACGTGGCAGAGAGGGTCAGGGCCAGGCCTTACACTGAGTTAGGGTCAGGTGAAGCCTCACTGTGAGGTTCCTGTACTGGGGTTTCAGGGTGATCTCCACACTTCAACGTAGCCAGTGGTCTATGCTCCTCTCTGCTAGAAATGTGAAGATGAGGGGTTTTCTTAATGGCCTTCCTATCACAGACTTCCAGTATGACATTGGATCCATCATTTAAGGTTTTGTCTCCAGGGGAGTTTTTCCACTGATTTAAAAAAAAAGCGGATAAGGAACTTAATTATCCTGTGCCTGAAGTTTCTCCAGCTGAAAAAAGGGATAATAATAATAATACTTGCCTGCCTCACAGGAGTTTGTGTAAATTCATTGGTTTTAGTTAGGTGTTTTGCTGTCATCAGATGGAAAGTGCAATTTTGCAAAGTGTTTTTTACAATTTCAAAATCTTTCTGCATTATTCATGCAGTAGCCACTGCTCCTGGATTACAGGATAATTTCAATTTGGGACTTTATGGGATGCTTCCTCCTCCCATGGTGTGATGCTAGAGCAATTTGCCCAAATGTAGTGCTGTTAATTAGGTACCTTCTGTGTGTCTGGCACATTGTACAAAACATGCTCCATTTTGTTGAAAGAGAAATTGCAGAAAAGTGTGTGTGTGTTTGGGGGGCAAAGGGGGTCCAAAATAATTTGCTTGGGGTCAGGGATTTGGCTGGATATTTCTTTCTCTTCATTCATTTCCAAATTTCCCTCTCCTCTCTCTCTTTTTGGGGAGGGAACAAGATTAAAAAAATCTGTTACAGAAACATGGGCATTTTGAACTCTGTTACACATATAGCAAATATTTCTAAAATTGACTGTTGAATAAAAATAAAGTTACTCTGTCTGAAACTGAAGATACAAGGTTACACAGGTAACTTTACACATACGCTCAAACTATTTGAAACAGCTTAGCATGTGTAATTACAGCTCTATTTTTTCAAGTTTCAACACTTCTTGACAAACACTTCTAAGTAAATATATTTTTGGGCTGTAATTTCATTTGGACCAACAAGCTAAACCTGGTGGAATATTTAAAAGAGAAACTTCTCCAAGGAAAATCCAGGATTCTACAGGGAGAGATCCTGATGAATTATGAGAAGTTGTTGGTACTATGTTGTGGTATTAAGGAGTGCCTACTATTCTTGACTGTCCTGAGGTCATACGATTTAAATGCTTAAGTTAAAATGATACTACACAAATCATTGGGTGTCTAGACTATACCTCTCTGTCTACAGAGAGATGTAGATTAGGCACATCGAAATTGCTAATGAAGCAGGGATTTAACTATCCTGTGCCTCATTAGCATAAACATGGCCATCACTTATTTTTGAAACATAGTTTTTTCAAAAAAACCGACAGTCTAGACACGGATCTGTCGAAAATAAACCTCATTTTCCGTCAACAGAGGGATGCAGTCTAGACGTAGCCATTGTGTCAGTAGCAGGCAACATAAAAGTTTAGAAGACAGGGTAAAACCTTGAAAACTAAGCAAATTAGGGGTGTGAAAGTGTAACCTGTCCTACTTCGCAGTCCTCTTTATAACAGCCGTTGGCATAGATAAAGACTGTTTTTTCAGGTTTTCCCTTAAGTCTTCTATTCTTATGACTAAATATTGCCAATTTTTTAACCTTCCCTCAAAAATCAGGTTTTCTAAATCTTTAATAATTTTTGAGAGTCCAAAGGAGAACAACAATTTGACAAGATCTTATCTAAAGTGTGGCACTGCGTTGGTGACTCACATTCAATCTGTGATCCACTATAATCAGCAGTACATCCACCTAGCCTGGGACAGGCAAGGACCTATGGGCTGGATCTAGCCTTCCAGGCCTTTTACTCTGGCCTGCGGCCTGCCCCGTGACAACCCTCGGGTAATGCTGGGACTCTTAGAAACTGACCAATGGGAGCTGAGAGATTGTACTGGGAGTGCAGCAGTGCACGACCCCCTTCCCCTGGCATGTGGTGCAGAGAGCCACATGGAACAGGCTGCTGGCAGGCAAGGAGCCTGCCTGAGGGTCACGCTGGGCTGCTGGCTATAGGGTTGCCAGATGATTTAACAAAAAATATCGAACACCCTCCTCCCCCGCAAAAAAAAACAGCGGGGAAAAATTCTGTCAAAGAAAAAAACAAAGGGACTGGCTATAGGGTTGCCAGATGATTTAACAAAAAATATCGAACACCCTCCTCCCCCGCAAAAAAAAACAGCGGGGAAAAATTCTGTCAAAGAAAAAAACAAAGGGAGAGACCAAAGTTGTTGGAATGGGGGGAAGGGAGGGGAGGAAGTCCCCTAGAACTTTTTTGTGGAGGGGAAAATTTTTTTAAATTTTTTTTAAAAAAG